ACAATCGGTGACAGGAGAGAAACTGCTTTCTGCCCATCTCAGAGCAGTCCATGTTTACAGTCAGAAGGCATTTTTTGTGACAAACCCCTTTACTGAATCCCTGGGAGCAGTGCCAGCCCGGACTGGGTGCCCAGCAAGAGGAGGGACCCTCCAAACCTGCAGAGCTCCGAGAGACCTCAAAGAGCTCAAGGTTAGACGGGATAAATGCACCCTTTTCCCCCACCCTCTTTCTTTTCCTCACCGGTTTTAGAGGACACACAACGCTATGTTAAATGTAGTTAAATGTGGAGTTAATACTTCAATTCTGGAGCAGACAGAGACAGCTCAGAGTCATGGACTTGCCTGGATGTGATGATGAGCAGAGAGCTCCTGCGCGCCCCGTGCTGCCGTTGCTCGTACAGCCCAGCACGACCAACTTCTGTGCAGACAGCCTGCAGAGTGGAGCAGAAATCAGAAACTCCTACTAGAAAAGAAAGATATTTGCAGGAAGATGAGACAAAAAAAAAGGAAGTCTTCAGTCAACACAAAAGGTGAATGTGTAAATATTGGAAATATGCATAAAAAGGTGAAGCAGGTGTGTTGCCTGGCACCTTGTTTATGTCTTGCAGCATTTATTCCAAACACTAAGAAAACTTTGTTCTTACTGTTAGAAGAGGAAAAGAGAGAGAAGAGAACAAAGGGAGCATTGTTATAGATACAGCTATGAACTCCCATCCCACTAACAGGGGCTTTACCAGTTTTACAAACCACTCCTCAGAAGCCATCCAGCACACACGGAGTCCCAAGGCACATGCAGAGAAGAGGCTGCAGGAATATCTAACCTGTGCAATTCACCCACTGGATCTCTGAGCTGTGAAAACACAGACAATACTTTTTTGGAAGGAAAAAAAAAAAAGAAAAGAAAAAAAAAAGGAAGCATGACCATTCAACATACTGCACTTGGGATTGTAAAAGCTACTGCTCCTTATTCTATTTAGAAAACAAGGTAAAACGTGACTCCTAAGTAACAAAACATCCTTTGCACAGGAAAAAGATCATGGAGTCGATGCAGGCACCTCTCAAAAACAGGCACCAAACCCTGCAGGACGTCGAGGTCCGATCCTGCCGGGCTGACTGTGTAGCCACACTCGCGATGCTGAGGTTCAGGGCCAGAATTTGACCACATCCAATTCTCTGAAATTAGTTCACATAGGCACCAATACAGATAATGTTTTCCTTTAATGGTGAATGATTTTATAATGAAGCAGAAACATATAATGTATTCCATGCAACCAACTTCATTTATTGAAAAGTCCTAATTTTATTGCCTTGTTTAGTAACATGTTTGTTCAACAAACTAATCTTTTTTCATGAAGCAAAGCACAACTTTTTCTTATAAATAGTATAAATTATTTTATTTACAGAAACTTGTTACAAAACAAATAGACTATATATTTATTTTTCTTTTAAATATCCAAAGTAATTTTTTCTATCCCATGACATTTGTTCATGTACTATACAGCAGCCAACACAGAGTTCAGCTGATCAGATGCTCTCGATTATGTATACAAATTATCAAACTATTCACACATTTTACACAGGAGATTGCTTTTAGAACCAGGCTCAACACCGAGCAAGATGCTTTCAAGGCCTACATTCACATTGACATTATGTAGTGCTCATTTTAAAATTATCTTTAAAACGTAAAATATCTTGCACAAAAGGTAAAAATGATTATTTTCTGCTAAACAGTGAAACATTTAAGAATCTTTCTAAGCCCAATTCCCTCCTCCAGGACAGAATGAGTGAAAGACAAGAGAGATTCCTTGGCAAGAGAACTCTTACAGGAAGACAACTGCCTTAGAAATGTCATTTGGAAATCACATCTTTATTTTTTTAATGGTTTTAAGAGGTACTTACTTGCTGGGCTTTTTTTGTTTGTTTGTTTTCCTGGAATACCAACTCTATTGAATATTTTCCAAATCATTTCATTTATGAATACTGCCCCGACTCCTTCCCAAAATGAGGCAGTTTAAATAAGCTGCTGGTTAAAACCATATTTCAAACCCTTGGAATTCTATTAAATGTGAGTTATCACTGGGATTGTTCCAACACAAGGTATTCTAATTAAAAGATTTTACAAAAGTTACCAGCATCGTTCACTTTCTTTTGTCAATCCATCTCATTAATTTCAGAAAATATATATATATATGTATGTGTGTGTATATATATATATATACACACATACACGCACACATACATATATATACGCACACATATAATATATATATATAGGTGGAAAAAGCAAGCTCCAAAGTTTCAACTGAACATTCAAGTCTTTTAAGGAGAAGCTGTCTAAACAGTCCAAGCTTAAAACTAGTTATATCAGGCACTTTCAGTTTTTCCGTTAGTTTTAAACCACGAGACCCACACAAATGCGCACGCACACACACGCACACGAACACTAAAAAAAAAAA